AAAACTAAACTGAGTAGTTTGGTGTGAGAAAATTATTTAGAATACAACATCAAAGCATCTAACCAAAACACAAATTAACAAATATACACACACGGGGGGGGGGGGGGGGGGGGGGGGGGGGGGAGATACTCCCTTTTTTGAGCATTGTTTTTGAAAGGGGACAGCCGGAAGAAATAATTGACACTTTACTGAAAAATCTTTGACAAGCTAAAAAATGCTCTGGAAAAACGGGAGGGGGCATCCCCAATCCCCGCGTTCTACAGGCCTGTCTTTAATGGTTAATTTTGTAAGGATTTTTTTTTTTAAAGAATGGCTGGTTCTCCCCACTCTCATCCAACGATACTGTATTGAATACTCAAATATTTTTCTTCTGAAAATGATAGTATGAATGGAATCTGTCCTCCCCCTGACTACGGATTTTTTTCAATCCCTTTTTTCCTTTTTCATTTTTCATTTTCCCCCCAAGTATTTCGGCATTTTTCTGAACCCCTCCAAATTTTTAAGTGCCGAAAGTTTTGTTTTTGTTTTTTTGGCTTATCAATCATTTTACTGCCCCCTGCTCCCCATCGCATATACACATTTTGAGAAACAGTGCTACGTGCCTGTTTTATATGTATGTATAGGAAGCCCATCCAGTTTGAAAATTTTCCCTAGGTAGTATAAAATTTGATACCTATACAATTTCTTGTATTTTAAGAGAATCTGTAAGGATTACTTGAAACCCTACCCACAAGATTGTGGATAAATACTTTTTTACATTTTCATACAAGTATACAAACACTCATTCTCTCTCTCCCTCTCGTGTAAGCATACATAAGTGGTTTCAAGAATCTCCTCACTTTACATTTGGGTACACAGTTAGAACTATTTCAATTACCAATGTTACTTTCATATATACTAGGGATGTCAATTTTATTCGAACAGCTTAGTCGAATAGTTGGAGGCTTTAGTCGAATGATAGTCGAATATTCGTTGAAATTTAAATTAATTTTTCATGTCATTTTCACTATTTGTCTTTTATAGACTAGTTGTACAATATTTAACCTACGCTATCACCATTATACAACGAATTTCTGATTTGTAAACATTTATGTAGTACAATAAATACTATACATCTACATGTATCCAATGCATTTGATTTCAAAATTAATATAATATTTACTGCACATTTTATCTAAATGCAGGATATCAAATGCTTGCATTTGTCCTTTCTTGTCATAACGAGACTACATGTACCCGTTAATTGAAGCCATTTCTACGTATTGTGTCAGTGACCTTTGACTGGTAAACAATTAAAGCGTGCCTCTTGTAAAAACAGAGAGAACTTTTAATTATGAGATTTTGTGCAAATAATCAATACAATCTTAAAAAGACTGCATGATATTTATATCAGAAAGAAACACCATTTAATTACACTCATAACTGTCCCCCAATTTACATGTATTTACAATTTTGTAACAGCTGTTTAATATTCTTTATGAATAGTTGCATCACGTCAGATCTTATGGAATTGCAGGTTGAAGCTTTATGATTTGAATCTACAAAACCAAACAATTCTTGAACGTCCTCTCCATTTACAACAATCAGTGGTAAACAATCCTTGATAATCATGTTTGTGATAGCAACATTTTTATTTCTGGCTCTGAACATGCAGTTAAAACATACCCTGAGTTTTACTTACAAGAACATTGATCTGTATATAAATGAAATGGGCAAATACAATTTTATTACCTTGAATTTAAAATTACGTTTAGGTAACACATTTTTAACGAATAACCGACTAAAGAAATTTTAGTCGATAGTCGGTATGATCGAACGATAGTCGAGTACTCAAATATTCGTTGACATCCCTAATATATACTAATAGTGTAATACATGTACTTAACTTCAATTTAAACCAAAACATGTACTGTAGATTATTTTATATACACATAATTATGTCTGTTCTTGTCGGTAATTGTATCAATCATGCTTGTAATTTGCGATGCCTGAAAGGGCCCCGATTTGAAAATAATCTATGTACAGAAACAAATTGTTCAGTGTTGCTTAAATTTACGATATATTAGTTTTAGTTTTATATCTAAAACAGTTGAAGCCAGTTCATTGTACGTATTTAAATATATTTGATCAAGGAAAATCCGACTTTTTTCAGACATTTGTTTAAAATATATTGAAGAATGTATTATACATAATCCACCCCCACCCCCTCCTTTTATTTTCTTTAAAAGATGTAAGATCCGTAACAAGAATGTATGTTTATGTATTAAATTTGATGTAATGAAGCCACATTCATGAACTATTAATACATATATCGAAACATTTATTTTGATTTCTGAAACGTTTTATTTGCGTGACTATTTTGTGTAATCAGGCAAAATACCAGTGTCACTTTCACCTTTGATATTTTCCCTGACCAAAAATACTGATCAACAGGGACCACATGTGTTCAAGTGCTAGTGACTATGTGTTTACCGTTGAGTTACAAATGGATTTATTTCTTCCGTGATGCATATTTCATTAAAAAGGAAGTTATTCTCTCGACATGTGCACATCCCTGTACCGATAGCAGTATTTCAGGTAGATTTTAAAGCATTCGATGCGTTTTCTCAGCATGCATGCATGTACATGTATATCTGAATTTGTTATACTTGAATGCCTAAGTTGCATAGTATGTGCATATACCATGTAGCAGGCATAATGCTCAATAGTACAGTGTTATTTGAAAAATGAGGTAGCATGTGGTAGCCTTTTCTTGTTTATTGTTCAAATATATGTGTGAATCAAACATACATGTGTTATTTTGATTTTAATGCATTGCATCTAAATTATTCAAAATTTAAATACTTCTTTATGGTTTTCAGTAAAATTCCTAGTTTTTCAGATTTATGGTATGTTCCAAAACTGCTTTATCAGAGATGTGTACAGGTCTACATGTTTTTATGTCAGTTCATGGCGTGTTCCAAGACTTTGCTATCAGAGATGTGTACATGTCGACAGCCAGGCTAGAAAATCACTCAAGTGTAACAAAGGCATCAGGGTAATCAGGGTTTATATAGCCGGTAAAATAAGAGAGCGAATCTGAAAGAAATATGGCGGAAAAAGGGAGTACGAGAATGAAATAAGTTGTACCAGGATGAAAATATCGCATATTTAAGAGTTCATGTCAGCTTTAAGGGGACCAGAGATATATGTATGATCCTTGAAATTTAAAATAATTATTGAGGTGACCAGGTATTCAGGGTTATCCATAAGAAATGAAATAGAAATGGGACATTTTAAAAGTTGAAGGGTGTCTTGGATTCCTCTAGCTATGCTAAAGGGGGCTGAGGGGGGAATGCCAGAATAACAGGGGGATTATGTCATTACAGGTATGAAAATTCTCAGATATTATAAAGTTAAGCAACACATTTCCTTACTACAGGCAATTCCAAATGGCTCGAACTTCGATCTTTCGAAGTTCTTGATTGCTTGAAATATTAGCCTTGGGTCTAGTAGCCCTTTTCACAAAAAAACTGAAGTTTTTGCGTAAGATTTTAACTTAAGAATTTCTTACGACAAGAACACATTCGTAGCAGATTGAAGTTAAGATTTTATTTACGACAGACTTCATCCCTAGCAATGACTTCAATATGCTTTATAATCCTTAAATAAGTGGGTGAAAATAAAAATAAAACTTAGTTTTTAACATTTGTCAGCATAACAAACATTATTGACAACAAATATCGAATGCAATCGTTTGTGAAGCAAGGAAGTTTAAAATCTATGTCATAATCAAAAGTCTGACGTAAAAGAAGGTCATAAGTGAAACTTACATCGTAAATATTTTGTAGTGTTATTCACTTATATTTTTGACAATGATTGTGAAAAAAAATATAAAATATTATTGTAAGTTGCTTTACAAAGTTAAAGAGCCAGGGGCACTTAGGGCCTTTTTTGGCCCTGTAAATTTCTGAAAAATTAAAACTGCATGGTTTTAGTCGACAAGGCAATAAGTATCACTTGAACACTTGGTGACTAATTTTCTACTAAATAATGACGTAATTTTCTTGATAGTCAATGCATTATGACGTCATGAATTGCGTCATTATTCACATATCCCGAATATTTCTTCAAAAATGGCCAAAATATGATGCTATTTTTCAATTTTTCGTATACAGCACAACTTCCGATCCAAAATGTGCAAATATATTACGAAAGAACTGCTTAATAAGATTATAAAATATATTTTGATTTTTGGATCGAGGGGTGTGCTCATATTTTTATTCTTTGTTGAAGGTTCTCAAATTCACCTGTTTTCTGCAAAATTCAAGAACATCGCAATTTCACACAACCTGTATTCGAGTACCTGGACTCTTAAGAGGAAACTTTTATATACAAACTGAAAGCTCCAAGTCTCTACTTTAAATTGATGTTGAGAAAGGGACATAGTGTGTTAGTGGATAAATTGGTTTATCTACAGGGCCATTTTATGCATAAAGTGAACCTAGCTCTTTAACGTGTATTTTGGTTTTTGCGGGTATATTTTTACAATAAAATCATTTTTAAAATACTTAAGAGAGGGTTGGGGCTCTCGTAAAGTGATGACAGATTTTGCACTTACGACTTTCTTAAGAATTTTTGTAAAAACGATTTTTATCATAAGTTTTAACTTAAGATAAAAATATGTTGTAAGATTTTTTGTGAAAAGATCCACAGATTAGAGCAAAGTGATTTTTATTCCCAGTGACTTTAAAATACATTGTAAACTTAATGGATATATAAACGAATTACACTTATAATGAAGCAAAATTTTCCATCCCTGGCACTTTGTTATAAGCATGTTTTACTGTAATTCTTACAAAATTTTGTGATAAAATATCAGGAAAAAGATGACTTTTGGTCACAAAACTCACTGAATGGGATTGCATGCATAATTTTATTTTAAATTTCTTCAAAACTAAATATTCTAATGGTTAAATTTCATCAATCAAACAGCCCTAGGAATCAACACTTTAAATTACCTCAATTAAACATCAAATCCTCCTTCCATTCTCATAGTTGTACAACACTTCTTCTTGTAAGTCCTTTCTTGTTAGCATGTATATGCAACTGTTTTCTTTTACCAAAACTTTTAATTCGATCCACTGATTGGTTTGTTTCATTTTCATTGTTGACATCTGTAGGGAAATAAAAGCTTAATAATTACAGGTTTTTTAATCAAACTCAAAAGTACCTCTCTTAACAGATTATTAATCACTCTAAAATCTAAATGTTTTCCTTAACATGTAAATAAGTCATAACAAACACATTTTTAAAATATAAATATACATTTTTTTTTAATCTGTAACCTACTGTAATCGAAAAGGAATGTATAAAGAAAATAAAAGGTTGGAATCGAACTAAGGACACCTGTTTCACTAGTCAAATGTTCTAACCACTGAACTATCAAGGCTGATTCATATAGTCTAAACTACTATTTTGTTCATTCCCTCAACAGTCTTTCATCTCAAGGACACGTAACAAGTTCACCTATCTGGAATTAATCACAAGCCCCCACCCCCACCCCCCATCACACCTTTGTTTGAATTAAAGGAAGCTTTAAACACTGCTCACTGAAGAGTTCTACATTTAGTATATATAGGTATCTCTCAATACCTCAAAGTATGCAGGACTGCAATCATGTGTTGTGGGTTTGTGTTCAGTAAAGTGTGCAGAGTTATGCCTAGGTCACATTTAAGCTGATGGTCAGGCAAATCAAATTTTTGTCGTATCGTCAGCTTAAAAACATGATCAGCCGACAGTAGTATCGAGCGACGTGGAGCAGTCATATTAATTCCTAAGAACACTGGTAATTTTCAAAATTTAGATAATTCTAAGTTGGCCAATAGTCGCCCAATCATCGTTCACTAAGCCACAGTTTGATTTTCACCATCAGCCAACATTTACAAAAACCCAATTCCATGCAATAATGTTGACCCATCGACGACCGACTTTAAGAACTGTCTACCAATGTTCGGATGATGATTGAAGGTTGGTCGACAGACTATTGTACGACTGCTTCAATTGAAGGAATCGACCACCGATGCAGAGAAAATTATAACATGGCCCAACAGACACAAAATTGGTAGGCTGACAAAAAAAAAGGTCAAATTCGGGCAAGACAATGGCAGATGAACAGCTGACTGTTGCCTGAAGAAGGTATTTTTGCCTCAAAAACAGTCACCCGTTGGTCTTTCTTGGAAATGTGACTGGGTTTTTTGAAAACATGTAAACATTAAAACATAGACACTTCGAGGTATTGAGAGTAAATAACAACAGATTATGCATATCAAGACTGCATTTTGACTTAGAGGGATCATGGATTTCTGAATCAAGAGACTGAGCGTTCAAGAGATCAAAACGTAAATTTGCTTAGTTATATAAGTAAAAATATCTTTGTAGTCACCTTTTCATCACCTGAAAAATTGGAATTTCCCTGTTAATTAACTACCATTTTGCTTTCTTCTTTGTTTCGTTCAAAATTCAATTAATTTTCCCTTTTTTCTCACCATTTTTGCAATGAGGTCAGTCATATTTGTTAAAGGATTCTGTGTCTAATACAAGGAGTAACATAACCACAATTCAGATCATAATAGAATTTGGCATACATATTACATTTAAATCTTCACATTTTGCTGCATGTTTATAACATCATGGTATGAAAATGAAGTCAATATGTTGATGACTTGTGTCAAAACCAGAAGTCTCTAATGAGACTGTAGCTCTGCTGGCTTGTACTTTAACAATTTTTTTTTAAAATAATTTTTAATTAGACAATTTCAATATTATTGTGTGTATTAATTAATTTCACATGTTATAATGAATATTGGACCATAATCTGTCGTTGTAAGCTGGCAACAAAGAGAAAAGTATAAATTCGAAATGCAAGTCATGTAAACAAAATGAAAGTAGGGTCCTGAATAAGTCCCATGCATCTCGTTATATCCGGAGTCCACTGTACTGGGTTTCTGGTCTTTGTTATGAACTAAATTTTTGTTTTGTAATACAAAGGAATATGAATAGCAAGTTTAGTTATTACAGATCCAACCATATTTTCATTAATTTTGGGGATAAATGACTATTGGGAAAATTAACACATTCAATTGGGAAGAAAGGTACCTCTTTTGAATTAGGAATGGGGCCCTTGAATGGCCCTAATTATAGACAATCGAGAGCCCTAAGGCATCCAGGTGTGGTTCCCCGACAGCTTGGCGAAACGAATTAAATAACTATCCTACTTCCCCCCCCCCCTTGGGATCCCTAATTCTAAATGTTATATGCAAAGCCAGCTGTTATAATACTGCTAATTTCTTTTCCAAAACTGGTTGCAGGGGTGTGCAATTACAAAAATTAGTTACTAGCCCGTCGGGCTAGTGGCAGTAACAAAGTTACTAGTCCGAGGTTGCCAGTCACTAGCCCATTAACTACCGAAAACAATACATGTATAAGTATAACAAAAAGGTTAAAAAAACATTGAAGTTGAAATAAATAAAACAAATAATGGTTTGCACTTTTTTCTCCCTATTTTTATCGACTATAATTATTATGTCACTGAAACGACTGGCGATAGCAACACACAAAACATATCAGGTTAAAACGAATTAAAGATTATGATTTTACAACAAGGTTAATTCGTACATCAATTCAGTCGCCGTAAATATACGTATACTTTCGTTTTAGATTTACTAGCCCGACAGGCTAAGGCAGTATAGATTTATGATAGCCCGATCTCTAAAATTGGTAGCCCCGGGCATCGGGCGATGGTAATTGCACACCCCTGACTGGTTGTTTTACCATTACTTTCATCACCATGCCTCAAAGAAAAATCCAAAAAATTTCAAGAGTGAGAAAAATAAAAATTCTTTCCGATGGTCATGAACATACACCTGCCTACCAATACATAGCTATAAACATGTGGTAAGGCTAAAAAAAATTACAGTCTTGTTTCCTGCTACCCATCGGGCGATGGTAATTGCACACCCCTGACTGGTTGTTTTACCATTACTTTCATCACCATGCCTCAAAGAAAAATCCAAAAAATTTCAAGAGTGAGAAAAATAAAAATTCTTTCCGATGGTCATGAACATACACCTGCCTACCAATACATAGCTATAAACATGTGGTAAGGCTAAAAAAAATTACAGTCTTGTTTCCTGCTACCCAACCGACCCTATTTTTTTGCACCCGACCCTAAAGTTTTTTTAATAGTTTTGAAAAAAAAAATCAAAAATTTTAGGAATTTCATGTTCCTAAACTGAAAAAAATATATATTCAAGTGGTATTTCATGAAATTGTATGTTTTAAATATGGACTTTCATAAAATACCACTTGAGTTGTGCATCAAAAGACATTAGATTTAATTTTAAAAGATAATATTGACCTATGACGTGTTTAATTTGGTTTTATATTAGTTCATATCCAAAAATACTGTTGGAAAAAAATTAAATTAAATTAAAAAATAAAATAATTTTCCTACCTACCTACCCTATTTTTTTCAGGTTGGTAGCAGGAAAGAAGACTATTATTTTTTTTGGCCTAAGCACTTTTTATGGCTGTAATGTACAGTCAGGGGTGAGACTGAAATCCGTCATTTCTGAAAAATGATGGTATGTAATCGTCATATTTACTAACTACGTATTTTCGTCATTTTTGTCAATATGACTTACTATCATCATATTTTCTTTTTCAACTTAATTCTTCTATCCTGGTTACATAAAAGCGAAATTTGAATTCACCGCTGAAAGAAGAGTGTTTACGCAAGTTTCATTTCATCCGGGTCACTAATTACTCCAATTACTTAGAACATCAACATGGAAGGTGAAAGTTATTATTTAGCGGTAAAATGTCGAATTTGGGTAGAACTAATTCGCCATTTTTACATGGCTTTTAAACCTATAAAAACATATAGTACACCGTCTGGAAGAATACGTACTTATAGAGAAAAGTCTCAACAAAAAGTTAAAGCCATAAAAAAGAAGTGCGCCCCGTAAAACAAGCGAGATATTTCAGTGCGCCCAGACCCTCCATTTTTAAAAAAAGATGGCATATCGTCATTTTCGACTTCTTTCCTATTTAATGCAAATAAATTGACAAATAACTCTTCCACTCTTATTTTTGCTTGGGAAATTTGTACTGTCGACATAACCAGTATTGTAGTCAACTGTATTAGAGAAATGAAGTTTGTTTACGATGTTTTTTGTCCTTTTTTCGGTTGGTGGATCTAACATTTTTCAAAGAGAGGTAACTCGGTATTCTAGAAACACTCTAAATTTTTATGACTGTTTTTCGTCATTTTCTTAAAAATGACGAGTTTAAGTCATAATAAAAATTTTATTTTATGACTAAAAATCGTCATTTTAAAAATGACGGATTTCAGTATCACCCCTGACTGATGTATTACCGAACATTTTCTAATGTAGTAGGTTATCATTACAGAAAAAGTTAAAACTTGCAGTTTTTAACACACTGAAATTGGATTCCACGTAAAAATACTAATTACAGTTTGTGTACACAATGTGGCATGATTATCTCGTGCAGAAAGACGATGGGATTAGTTAGTTACGCTTCATTGCATATGATACCTGTGAAATTGATTTCAAATTAATGACATTGTTACACAATTTAGCTAATAAAAAAGAAATATCACCTCTTTACTTGACTACTGACGACATATTTATTATTCATTTGGCACATTATCAGGTCTGGACGATTTCCAAAAATGGAAGTCATGAAAGAACGATAACTGAAAGTCGCCATAAGTATACATCATATACACGTAAATATTTTTCTGCCCAATCAGAACACAGCATTTTTACACATCCCAAAACATATTTCAAAGGGGTTAAAGTTAAAACTGAATATGTATCCAATAATCCACCATCTGCGCTCACCCAACGGTGATACATGTACTATTAACATACAGGGGTTTTTCTAGGTCTTTAAATCAAGAGCCTGGGCTTTTCTATTAAGAAAAAATAGCAAAATTTGGTTGTAATTAGCAGCAG